GCTGTTAGCTACAGGACAACACTAGAGGTTAGCTGTTAGCTACAGGACAACACTAGAGGTTAGCTGTTAGCTACAGGACAACACTAGAGGTTAGCTGTTAGCTACAGGACAACACTAGAGGTGAGCTGTTAGCTAAAGAACAACACTAGAGGTGAGCTGTTTGCTACAGGACAACACTAGAGGTGAGCTGTTTGCTACAGGACAACACTAGAGGTGAGCTGTTAGCTAAAGGACAACACTAGAGGTAAGCTGTTAGCTACAGGAAAACACTAAATGAGCTGAAATCAGCTAAGAACTAACAATAGGTTAACATGATTTAAAAGTAGCAGAACTGTGGCTAAAAGCTAAGAATTATCGCACGAAAATATTCCAATCATCCATCAAATACAAACTGAAATTTTAAAATTCTACGATTTGATGTACTTTAATATTTTACTGTTTATATACAAGGCTCATAAAAACTTATTACCTTCCAACATTCAGGTAAACTTTAAGAGAGACAGCTGTTATTATGTTAAGGGGAGGAAAATATTTGTGAAGCCATATGTGACCCATCATATCAAAATGAGGATTAAGTCAAATTTGGTCCAAATGACCTAATTACATTTTCAGATTCCTGCTTTAAAAGCTACATTTTGATYCCTGGATCATCCTGATTTCATCAGCTTATCTGGAGATATGACTTAATTTGTGTTGTTGTTTATGAATTATCATAACCAACAAGACAAATTAAGTCACAAAATTATGATTCAGACCAAATATTAATTAATGTTTGGTCTGAATCCTTATTTTATGTAAATTTATTGAATCATTTTTCATTATAAAGAGGAAAACTCTAATAGTATTTGTATATTGAGATTTCCCAGTTGGAAAGAAACAAAAACATTGCTAACTCCCTGGGAAAAATTTCAAATTTTAAGGTGTTTTTCCTTAAAATCAAAAATTTTTTGTTGCTGCTGTTAAAAAAATGCTTCAAAACTTTTTTTTAGGATTATGTTTCAGACAGTTCAAATGATACATTGATAATGCATTAATTTATTATAATTTTACAAAATGCAATTTTTGCACACGTTTAAATCAAAACCCTAAATCTGCCCATTTCTCCGCTTTTGGACTTAATCCTTGTTTCGATGTGACGGGTCACATCTTTTCATACTTGCTTGAGAGAAAGATGTACTTTAATCCAGGGTATAGTTTAATCCAGGGTATACTTTAATCCAGGGTATAGGATTGTGGAATAATCTGGAGGATGATGTTAAAATTGCCAGATCTATGTACCGGTATATATTTAACAGAGATAAAAACTAGTTTTTTGAAGGTATATGGGAAAGTAAAATGTGAAGCTATATGAATTGATTGAGCTGATTTTTTTATTTTTAATTAGTATTATTTTGTAAATTATGTTTAGTTTGAATATATTCTGGGGATAAAAGAGGCAGACATAAGATTTATTCTTC